AAATCCCAAAATTGTTGATGGTCAAAGCCAAAGTCTCAAAAAAGACATCGCCCAAAAGTCGCAGAATTTTCACCCCAGTGCCCTGATGCGGTGGATTCCAAGAGTCCTGTCTTGATTCCCTTTGTTCAAGGCGGCAAAGGCAAAGGGAAAGCAAAGGGACAGCAAAATGCGGCGGCGTACCAGCAACTTGACACTGGTAAATCCCAAGTGAGAAATCGCCCAAAAATGGGTACTCGGAATCAGGAGTACATGATCATCGGGTGTCCAAAATAAAAGAATACATCAAACAGGGTAAATCATGATGACCTGACGACCTATTGTTGATTCCCACAAAGGCTTGATTGGCGATTGTTTTTTCTCTTCGAGACCATGAAATGGTGTGGTGTCTTCCCCCTTTTGTTGGTCGTGCCAAAAGTTGGACAAAAGGCGCCTCAGCTCGTGAGTAGATTGTTTGAAAAACTCAACACTGAGCCCTAAGGAATATGCTACAGTTTGTGGTTTCATCTAATTTGGACACGTTTTGTTGAAAAATCCAGTTCTTTTCCAGTTCTTCTCCCACGTGCATGGCAGCCGCAACAGCAAGGTATCCTTATGGCTACTATCCCTACTCGCAGGAACAGGTTCAGGTTCAGTTGACTTTGTTTGAGTCCATAATTTTCATCCATTCTGAGCTATTTCACCGACTTGAAATATATTGGACATGATTGAAATATGTTGCATCTCCATTGTCTACTTGAGAGCATAGTGCCACTTAGTAGATTCATGATTATACAATATTACACGATATTACATTTATCTATATATAAATATATATATACATATATTATTGTACAGTATACATGGTGTCACATGCTGCCTGTGTTCCACCACGGATAGCATCCGTCTCCGTCGTCTTGAACATCGGTGTGGCCGCACCGGACGCCATCGGACGCCAGAACGCCTGGGCGATGCATCTCCAGTACTATCAACAGGCTCTACAGGTGCCGCAGAGCGCGCCAGTGCCAGGTGGGTTCCATCAAAAATCATCAAAAGTATGGGGCAATCATTGATAAATCATGCTTGGTTGATGACTATATGGCCGGTTCGTTCTATCTCAATATATATCCCATATTACTTGGGAATTATCACAATCCATGAGCGAAATCCGTTCTCCACCAGCAAGGGACGACATTGGTGAACTGAAGACTCTCTAAGACTGCTCAGGTGAGACCTGGTGATTTCATATCGTTTGTTAAAGCACCAGCAACAATTGGGGAATTGCAAGGGAATATCATGGGAGATAGTGGCATATAACCAAAAATAACTGCGATTTAATCATGATTTAACCATCAAACATGGTGGTTGTTATTTTGGTATCGGGATATTTCAGGGGAATGGTGACAAGGGTCATATCGACCTCACCGGAATGTCACAACGGGTTGGAAAGGCGGGAATCCTCCCCAAATGGTGTTACTTTCCTTATTTATTTTTATCCTTATTTCAGTTTAGTGAATTATGCGTGTTACTTTTCCTAGGTACGGTACATAGACTGAGTTTGCCAGTCGTACTCTGATCTATTTCGGAGTTTATTCAAGGATCTGATGACCGTTGCAGCTGCGTTTCAGCATCAGTTTGGTGATGTTCTGATGTGTATGATCATTCAAATTGACATTCAACATGAATGAGAATAACAGAAATAATGATATGATTAATTATCATCATGATTCAACACAAAACATTATATTGTTGTGGTAAAGCCACTGCCATCGATAATCCCCACGGACTCACCATGTTTATGGTGCATATATAATCACATATATATATATATATAATTATTATATATATCATATGGCACATGATTCAACACCAAAAAGTATTATGACGTATTAAAGTGGTAAAGCTATTTTCAATATTTTTATGGGTGGTTTACCAACCATCCCCAATTAGGAGCTTCACCGGTTATGGTGATAGCCTTGGGTTCCCATATGAGGCGCAGGCCTACTACAGCGGCTTTACCGGTGGTGTCATCCCAAGCGAGGCTCACAGCGGGAGCCTTGGGGATTTTGTCTGCTGGAAAGGGGCCAAAGATAGAAAGGATGAATATAACATATAGTAAAGTCGCTAATTTATATATGTTTTTAGATGTTTTGCTTTATCCTTTGTTGGGATTTTTGTACTTAAACTATTTTGAGTCCACAAGTTTGTTGGAGAAAAAAACAGCAGGAATCCTCTGTAGGTGATGGCAACGTTGCCATGGTTTCTGGTTAGATATTCCTGTGAACCAATCCATTGATTGAAAGTATAGGGAATCAGTCGAACATGTAGAAACATGTAGGCACTCCTTCCCCCACAAACAAAAGCCTCAGATTTGTTGTCAGTGATTTCTGTTCTCAATCTGGTCAGAAGTTGTTGGATGTTGTGGGGGATGTCATTGGCACATGCCCCAAATTGATGATGTTCCTTGAGACAAGATATGGGTGTGTCTGAAAATAGGGTACTCCATATTCCAATGGATTATATTATATATCCTCATTTTCCCCATTAAAATAGTTACTTGTGAGTATACCCTATTTCAAGACACACCCATGTAAGAATATATGATACACTAGCCAAAATCTAAGGAAGTCGGCCAAACCCCTTCCGCCTGGTTGGTCAAGAGGGGGGCTTCACTGAGAGCTTGGACAATCTTGGACAAGGGGCCACTCAGGCATCCCCAACAGTGCTCATACCCTCTGCTAATTTAACATAACTAGCTCTTTATCTACGTTAAACATGTTGCTTCTCCATAGCCATCTCAAATTATCGGAGGGTAGTGTGTGTTTTGTTTCATCTGAAAAAAGATCAGCCGGATTCAAGACAGGGTGGATATCCACGGGGACATGAATACTAAAAGCTGAACATCTCCAGCTAGGAGATCGGACCAAATGACGGTTTGAACATGGGGAATTGTCCAGGTTTGATGACACCAGAGGGGATGACCTTGGAGAAATTTCCAAAGTTTCGGGTTTCACACCTACTGGGTATAGATTGATTTAGAGGATTTAGAGGCATGTATATACACTATGAGTTAATCCATATCAAATAGTATGTTTGAATGATGTATACACTATAAAACACTATAATCCATATCGAATAATTTCTATATTTGAATAAATATTAGTATTACGTATATTCAAATAATCTATAGTCCATAATAAATACTATTTCCCAGGCCTTCAAAGGGCAAGTTTAACTTCGACATACGGAAATACTAAGTTTAACCATGGTGGGCCCCCCTTGCCTTCCCCTGGCATTACCTGTTGAGCCGGAATATAGTGGTGGATGACTCATGCGCAGCAGTATATTGGGTGGAAGAGCTGACATAGATTTTAAAAAAATCGAGAACATAAATGGATCCTAGGTGGTGCCCCCGAAACATGTTCGCGTGAAGTACCCGTGAAGTTGCGTGAAGTACCCGTGAAATACAGTGTTTACCCGTGAAATGCTGAGTTTACCCGTGAAAAACTAGGTTTATCCGGCCCTCCGCCTGAGCTGGCACAAAACAAACCCTATGTTTTCCTGTGGTCGTTTTTTGATCCCAAAGCTTTGACTGATCCTGCAAAGTACTTCGACCCAAAGCAACCAATCCCAGAGCCCAGGACACATAGTTTCCTGCAAAAAAAAACAAGACCGTGGTTAAATCTGGAGAGCGGGTAGTCATGGGGGGCGAGGTTGTGAAAGTCCTGATTTTGTTATATTAGTCACTAAAATCAGAATTATATCAGTCATTACATTAACCATAATATTAATCATTGTAATATTCATTATATAAGTCATGAAATGAATCATTAGATTAATCATGATATATATCATGATAGGACTCATGATATTAATCGATATATTAAGCATTAAATGTATGTAAAAACATTATAATAGTCGCTTTATAAACCATTTAAAGAATCATTCAACTTAATCACTATAGTTATCATTCTATGAACCAATTATATCATTCTATTTATCATTCATTAATCATGATATTAATCGTTATATAAGTCAATAAATGAAAAAATAAGATCAGCCATTACATAAATCATTATATTAATCATTTTATTAGTCATTAAATGAATCATGAAATGAATCATTATATTTATCATGAAATGAATCATTATTTAAGTCATTGTACAGAAAATTATACTACCCATTAAATTAACCATTAAATGAATCATCATATGTATAATCATTATTTTAGTCATATTAAAAATCATTATATTAGTCATTTGATTAACCATTGTATTAGTCATTCAGATTAATCATTATATTATTCATTTTACTAGTCATTGAATTAATCTTTTTACTAGTCATGGTATTCATCATTTTATTCATCATGATATGAATCATATTAGTCATTATATTAGTCATTGTACTAATCATTTTAATATTCATTATACTAGTCATTGTATTTGTCATTAAATTAATCATTATATTAATCATGTTATTAATCATGAAAAATACATATATAATCAATTTATTAGCCATTATATTAGCCATTTTATTTATTGTTACATTAATCATTAAATTAATCCTGATAATAACCATGAAATTAATCATTATATCAATCATTGAAATCATCATTATATTATATTAATCATCATATTAATCATTTCATTAATCATTCAATTAATTATTATTTAAATATTATCATGATATTAGCCATTATTTAAGTCATTAAATTAATCATAATAAAAATTATTATTTTCATCATTATAATAGTCATTATTTTAATCATTTCATTAATCACTATATATTCAACATTATATTTATCATAAAATTAATCATTACATTACGCGTTGTTTTCATTTATATATTCATTAAATTAATCATTATATAAATCATTATATAAACCATTAATTTAATCATTACATCAATCATCAAAATCACAACTATTTTAATCATGAAATTTATCATTTTATTAATCATCACATTAATCACTATAGTAATCATTATATTAGTCATTATATAAGTCATTAAATGACTCATTCGAT